GCTCAGAGGCATGGCAGACTCTCCTTCAGTGCTTCCAGAAGGAACCGACCCTGCCAACACCCTGATTTCAGACTTTCGGCATCCAGAACTGAGATAACAGATTTGTTTCTTTAAGCCACCCTATTAATTGTTCTTTGAAGCCCTGGGAAACTAATACAAATAGGTCAGTGTTAAAAGAAGGTATATTTGTTTGTAACTCCTTTTTTTTCCTCCTGATTTAAAAGACACGACACGGAGCAGTAATTCTAAATCGGGTGATGGGCACGCAATGTACAAAGATGTCACTTGGGCCACGACATAAGCAGGGGGAGGGGAAAGTTGGCTGGGAGTAAGCTGGATGTGTATCTTATTACCAGACAAAATTGAAGCGACAAATGGTTCAACAATAATAGATGGAGCACTCAGTATTCTGCACTCAATAATGGACTAAACAATTGGAGAGAAGATGAAATGAGGCAACAAAAGACTGAAGCAACACTGTCCACCAACCAGACCTTAACAAACACCTCCAGACCTCTACCCGACAGCAGCCAAATACGCATTTTTCTTCAGTGCACAAAGAACATTCTCCAGTACAGACCATATGTCAGGCCACAAAACAACTCTTGATACATCTTAAAAGATCATACAAAGTATGTTCACGAAGTAAATGGCATGAAATGAGAAATCAATGAACAGAAGGAAATTTAGAAAGTTCACAAATATGTGGCACCTAAACAACACCCTCTTAAACAACCAAGGGTCAAAAAAGAAATCACAAGGGAAATAAGAAAATATTCTGAGACGATGAAAACAAAACGCACCATACCAAACCTACAGGATGCCGTGAGAGCAGGGCTGGGAGGTAAATTTAAAGCTATGACTGCACTGAAAAAGAAAGATCTCAAAGCAATAACCTAACTTTCCTCCTGAAGGAACTAGATGAACAAACTAAATGCAAAACAAGCAGAAGGAAAGAGAGAAGAGAGTGGAGGTAAGTAAAAATAGAGAGTCCATGAAACTACAAGTTGGTTCTTTGTAAACAAAATGGATACAAACAAAACTGATAAACCTTTAGCCTCACCTTCCCTCAACTTTTGTTCCTAGCACTCCAGACACTGCCCTTGTCTCATCCAAGCGCCACGGCCATTCACAACTTACTTGAATTCTTGGCGGCGTCAGACACACCCGAGCACCGCCTTCTTTACTGGGCTCTCCTGCCCACTCTCTTGGTTTTCGTCCCTCAGTGCCCAAACCATTTCTAGCTCCTTTGCTGGCTTCTCTCCTTGCTATTCCCTACTGTCGGAAACTAAGAGCTCTGTCCAGGCTCTCTATCAACGAACTTTTCTTATTTGGCCACAGCTCATGGCTTTGTTGTTGTTGTTCACTGTTTATTGACTGCCTCCCCCAAGAACGTATGCACCTGGAGAGTAGGATTGGACTTCGACCCCTTACAGCAAATTCATTACAGATGCCCTTAAATAGAACAAATGTTAACAGTTCGTACATTTTCCCCCCAGGATTTCTCCCAGCTGCCCCTATTTCTTTTATGCATGTACACATGCACACACAGACACACAAGACATATTGCATGGTTTGTTTGTTTGTTTTAAACACATACCTCAACACCAATATTTGAATGAATGACTTGGGCTAAATCTAAATGACTTGGGCAAGGAAGGTGAATTCTACTCCTGCTGGTTACTCCAATGTGTTAGCAAAAACTGAAAATGATTCTTAAATATTAGGTGAAAGATAACATTGTGCCCTCTGGGGCTCAAGCAGTGGGATAGTAAATTGGGTACATATTATATTCAACTTTGTACTCTGATGGGAATTTTTTTTTTTAAGATTTTATGTATTTATTTGACAGAGAGACACAGCGAGAGAGGGAACACAAGCAGGGGGAGTGGGGGAGGGAGAAGCAGGCTTCCCGCCGAGCAGGGAGCCCAATGTGGGGCTTGATCCCAGGACCCTGGGACCATGACCTGAGCCGAAGGCAGACGCTTAACGACTGAGCCACCCCAGGCGCCCCCCGATGGGGATTTTAAACCTGAAAACAAGTCCTTTTTCATACTGCAGTTGGAAAAACTGGCTATCCAAAAATGACTGTTTTGGGGTTTTGTTTGTTTTTTTTATGTGACTTAGGGAATAAAGGAGAAGAGGAATATTAATGGGTGGATTTTATTCAGGATTGTTGCCATTTTTTCCAAACTGCTCTGACTCTTGCAACATCATGCTACAGACTTTTAAGGATAATGAACTTTACTCATTTTTCTCTCCTAAGGCCACCTCTTAGCTACATCTGCTGTATCTGGTGGCCGCACACTTGATAAGGTCTCTGGAGCAACAGCACCATCTGCTGGGCAAAGACTGCTGTACACCCATCTCAGCAAATCGCCAGCGGCTCTCAATCTTTACCTTTCCTTGTGCGACTCCAAACTGGACAGCAGCTCAGGTTAGCAACTAAGGCTTGTCTTCCAGAAGGCCAAACAGGAAACCCTGTTACTCTAGAAATGCTGATAAGATCAGAGAAGCCCCTTTGTCTGAGGCTCCCCTTCTAAGAAATCAATTTGGGTTTTGGGGGTGCTTCGTTGGTTCAGTTGGTAGGGCTCACAACTCTTGATCTTGGGGCTTGTTTGAGCCTCATATTACTGCAGAAATTACTTAAAAATAAAACCTTTAAGGCACCTGGGTGGCTCATTCAGTTAAGCATCTGCCTTCACTCAGGTCATGATCCCAGGGTCAGGCTCCCTGCTCAGCGGGGAACCTGCTTGTCCCTCTCCCTCCGCGCTCCCCCCCCCCCCGCCCCGACCCCCCCCCTGTGTGTGTGTGTGTGTGTGTGTGTGTGTGCGCGCGCGCTCTCGTAAATAAATTTTTTAAAAGAAATCTTTTAAAAAAAGAAAACCTTTAAGAAATCAACTTGGGTTTTGATCCAAGATTGGAAATCAGTGGCATTGTAAGAAAGAGCACAACCGAGGTAGAAGATGTGGATTAACAAACAGGAATAAAAAAGGCCACAGTTTTAAGAAGTCTTTCTTCCCTATATTCTCTGCAAACAAAATGCTGAGAAAATTTAATGCCTTTGATCTCTTTTTGGAAATTCCAGAGGTGAGACTTTTTCCTCCTTCCCTTACTAAGGACCATGAATTTTTCTCAATTTACCACCTAGCTCACTACTTGCTTTCTAGGCATTTTTCCTTCCTCTTCACCAATCTATACCTCAAGTTCTTCCTAAGATCCTTTTCCATAACATTTAATTGTGAATGAGTTTCTTAGGGTCTAAGAAATATTCAACTTTTTTCCCTTCCTTTCACCTCCCACTCTGACAAACTGAAATTTGATATTGGAACGTTTTCTTTATTCCTGAATCTATTCTCAATTACTTAAAATAAATTAGTCTTGGGGTGCCCGGTCTGTCTCTTGATTTTGGCTCAGGTCTGATCTCAGGATTGTGAGATCGAGCCCCCACTGGGCTCCGAGCTCAGGGGATAGATTCTCTCTCTCCCTCTCCCTTTGCCCCTCCCCCCCTTCTCTCTCTTCCCCTCAATAAGTAAATAAGTAAGTTTTTCTGCTACCCTTTTCTTCACGGACAGGAAATGCCTCTTGCTGTACACTCAATTCCTATGTCCCCCTCAAAATCTGTATGTTGAAATCTAACCCCCAAGGTGATGGTATTTGGAGGTGGGGCCTTTGGTGGAACCCTCATAAATGGGATCAGGGCTATATATGTATGTATGTGTATATATATTCTATACACACACATACACATACACACATGTATATATTTTTTATGTGATCTCTATGCCCAACATGGGGCTCAAACCCAGGACCCCAAGATCAAGAGTCTCTGCTCTATCAACTGAGCTGGTCAAGCACCCCGGATTAGTGCCCTTATAAAAGTCACCCAAAGAACGCTCCTTTGCCCCTTCCACTATGTGAGGTTATAGAAAGACGACTTTGGTCTGTGAGGAAATGGGCTCTCACCAGTGAATTTGCCCGCACCATGATCTCAGACTTCCCAGCCTCCAGAACCATGAGAAATAAAATTTTGTTGTTTATAAGCCACCCAGGTCTCTGGGATTTTGTCAGAGCGGCCCAGAATAACAACACCTCTACCTCAATTCTCTTTGGACTACATACTGATCACCCTCCTTTTTCTTTAATTCCTTCCTTTCTTTTTTCTTTTTTGTTAAGTAGGCTCCAGCGTGGAGCCCAATGTGGAGCTCAATCTCACAACCTTGAGTGAGATCATGGCCTGAGCCGAAACCAAGAGTCAGAAGCTTACTTGACTTAGCCATCCAGGCACACTTAATTCCTTTCTAATCAAGACTCTGGTGCATAATTTTCTCTAATTTCTTCCTTACTTTTCCTATTATTCCTTTATTGGCATTAAGAGACAGCTTTCCTATCATCTTCTGATGAGCTTTTTTGAAAATCATAGGAAGTTCATCACTTTATTGCCATTTATGGCTTTATCATTTACAAATCACTACCATTTCCAAGATTTACTTAAACTCATTTCCCTTTTACTATCCTTCTACATTTTCATAGTCCTCAGACTTCTTAATTAGTTACTAGGAGATAAAAATCATCAACATAAAGTCTTTTATATTCCCTGTCCTCTCAAATTTGCAAAACTTTTTTGTATTCAAGGCATCCCCAAAATTATTCCTCCAGGATTCATTACAGCTTTTCTTAAGGAAACACGCCTCCTTCAAACATTGTTTTATATATCTCAAATGTAAGATTCTCAAAAATCTAAGAGACCCCACTCATAAGAGGAATGCTACTATCCAAATGAAATAATAACCCATGAGATCATATATGTATATATAACTCAAATAATAGTCAATAATTTTCCACTGGCATTGCATAAAACACATACACACACACACACACACACACACACACACACACAAGATTAAGGCAAAAACTAAAATAAAGTTCTTATTTTCTCAGTCTCTCTTCAGTTTGTCTTTTGCTTAGTACGGTTCAGGAACCTACATAAAACTGAATGGAGAAGAAAATGTTTTTATTAATAACCAACATGAAATTTGACATGACATCCCATTAGGATTGAACCAGGATAAATAATGCTGTTATAAAATTTACACTCTTCACATCCATTTCTGAGGAAAATATTACATTATTAGGGCTCTTCTAGAAGGGTCTTATGGAATGATTTCAGTAAACCTTTTGTTTTTCAATAGTAAATAGCAACCTATATTCTCAAACTGCTAAAAAGTAGTTAGAAAGGCAACTATAAAATCCATAATGATAACAACTGGCAGGATTAGGACTATTCTCTTAAACATTAAGTTGTATCAATGCACCGTTTTCATTGGTAAGGCAACCGCTTGCTGGGGGCGCCACAACGATTAGCTCAAGTTTCTTCAGTAAGAGATGCTTGCTTCATCAAGATTCAAATGAGCTTCCTCTCCCATTTTTGCTCTCTTTTGGAGCAGAAACAAATGGCTCTGTCTTTTGTATGAGGGAGGCTAATATTTTGAAATTCAGCTGTCACAATCTTCTAACTCATAATTTAAAAGGGGAATGAATTATAATAAGTCTGTGAATTACTTCCAGTTTTTAAAATAACAAGGCTTCTGAATAACTTCTCGAACCTACCTTTCCATGTCGGTAACATGACTTGATAAACATAACACGTGTGATCTGCACTGTGGTAATTCTTCTAACGGCTACATTTTGCCCTCAGTAAGGGTTAGAGTTGTGGTTTCAAACAATTTCTACATAGAAAGCATCTTTAAATAAGGTTCCTTTTCACTGAACAGAGATTTTTTTTTCCCCACTTCTGTGCCTGTGGAAGGCAATTTACACATACACATATATACACTTGCATACCCATGTGTGTGTATATATGGCTTTTTAAGTAAGTTACTTTGACAATTAGAATAAAACTAGACTACAGGGAGAAGTCTGTGAGGCCAGGCTGGTGTTCCTTACGGCTCCTGCTCTACGCTGAGGAGGGCAGGTACAGTTCGCTGAAGGATGTGATGAGGCTGTAGTAAGTCTTCTCATCGTCTGTCAGCCCCGCGTTGCCAGGTCTCACCACCACAGCGACGTGCACATCCGCTTCCTCGGCAGCGCTGGCCTCTGTGAGAATCAAAGTATATGTCAGAAACATCAACATGTGACGTCTGAGATTCGCTTCAAGGTAATCAGGGGCATGTGGGGGAGGAAGAAACAAGTCGGGCTCCTATCTGATCATTGTTGAAGCTAGAAGATGGGCATACGGGGGGCGGGGTCTAAGCACATTATTCTTTCTTTTATGTAATTGTAATACTTCTATAATAAAAAATGTTTAGAAATACATGACTGTACCTGGCAGACTAGAATGGGCTAGACTTCCCCGGCCTGGTGTATAGTGAAGAGCATATCCTAGATGTCTGAGCTTTTATTAAGTAGTTATGAACGCAGAAGGAAAGAGCCACATTCTGGCCACGACTTTCCTCCATTCCCTCTCATCAGCCGCACAGAAAACTGAGTGTTTCCCAAAAGTCAGGCTGTCAGTAATAATACCAGTCGGGGAGAGATGGGACCAATGGAAGCCCAAGACCCAATCAGGCCAAAGTCCCGGCTGTCACATCAGGAGCCCAAATATGCCCTACTCCCTGGCCAGCCTGCCCATGCTTTTTGCCTGGCAAACTTCTACTCCTCAAAGTTCAGCTCAAGTATCTTACCTTCCAGAATGACTGGAAGGTATTAGAGCAGCCCGTGTGCTCCTTTAGCGCTTTGTGTTTAGCTCTATCACCACTCTATGAACGGACACGTTATTACCTGTGGTCTCTTCTCATTAGACTGTGAGCGCCTTAAGATCAGTGACTGCATGGTGGGTGAAAGAAAAATAGTACTAGTAAAATAAAACTAGGTAAGCCAGGTACAGCAGGGGATATCTCTAACATGCCTTGGGTTACATTCCTCTCTCCATCCTGCGTACGTGTGAAAAATAACAGCTAATACCTTATATTAGTTTAGCACCTACGATGTACCAGGTATTCTTCTAGGAACAGACATATATGAACAAAACAAAGCTCCTGCCTTTGTGGAGCTCCCATTCTCATCTAAATCTTCACAACAACCCTGAGGTAGTTAGTATTACTATCCCCATTTTAGAGACATGGAAAGTGAGAGCTAGTGAGTGGCAGAGCTAAAGTTTGAAAGTGTGAGCCCGACTCTCTGGTCTGTGCTCTAGAACAAGGGCGAGCAAATGATGACCTGCCACGTACTTTTGTAAATAAAGTTTTATGAAAACACAGTCATGCCCGTTCATCTGTGTATTGTCTATGGCTGCTTTTCCACTACCAGGACAGAGTTTAAGAGTTGTAACAGAGACAGTAGGGCCTGCAGAGCCTAAAATACACTACCCGGCCCTTTGCAGAACGAGCTTGCCAACTCCTGCTCTAGAGCAATACTATTCCAAATGTGACCTGTGGACCTGTAGCAGGAGAATCACGTGCAAGCTTGTTAGAAATGCAGAATCTCTGGGGTGCCTGGGTGGCTCAGTGGGTTAAGCATCCGACTCTTGATTTCGGCTCAGGTCATGATCTCAGGGTCGTAGGACCAAGCCCTGCATCAGGCTCCGCACTCAGCAGGGAGTCAGCTGGAGATTCTCTCTCTCCCTCTGCCCCTCCCCCACTCGCTCACTCTCTAAATAAATACAATCTTTTTAAAAAATTAAAAAAAAAAAAGAAAAGAAATGCAGAATCTCAACTCCCCAACATGGAACTACTGAATTACGATCTGCAATTTAACACATGATTTCTCAGCACAGAAGGTAAGTTTTGATCAGAAGTTTCGAGGAAAAAAAAACTGCCAAGAGAGGAGGCATTCCGGGCAGACATAAAATACACGTATAAATATCGGAAGAATGGAGCGAGAGAGTGTGGGAGACAGGACACGGGTCAGGTGGGGCATATCTGAACAGACGGAGCAAAACTGGCAAAGAATCTGAACCACGTTCTATGGAGTTTAGATCTGGTGTAATAAGAAATCTCAGTGGCTTCCAAACCTTTGGAAAACAGTCACATCATCCGAACGGGCTAAAGGGCAGCAGTGCTGAAAGAGATGAGAAGTTCCCGGAGAGAGTAAGTGGGGCAGAGCTCTCTCTTCCATCGACCCACCTCAAGGGTCTAGCTTCTCTTCCTGTGAAAGGGCTGTCAGCTTCCCAGAGCAAACAAAGTGCTAAACCATCCCCTCTTCATGTGGAAATCCCTTCCTCCAGGTAAACTCTGCAGGGGTCATTCTACTCATCCCAGTCCTCAGCCTGACTGCCTCAAGCACAGCTCTCCTCTTGACTAGCAACCCACGATCCCAACTGAGTTGAGCTATCATGATGCACGTGGGACCTGACACTAGCTAGTGGCTGTTGCACATTCACCCTCTTACCCAGACCACCACCAGGCAAGTGTTGTCCCTAAGCATCTATTCGCCTTGCTGGCATAATACTGACTTAAAACCCTGGACCGCCCTCCTTTCCTCCGAGAGGAAAAAGTCTTTCGGATCTCTCTTTCATACTTGGATGTTATCTGGGATATCAACTTAGTCTTCCATTCTGCCTTGGCAATGGAGTCTGGGCATGTGGTACCAAAAACACAGGATCAGAAATAATAGAAAAGAACAAGGCAAGCGGCCAGCTGCCTGGCCCCATCCCAGCTACACATGAGCCCAGTTCTGGCCCCACTGCCTAAATGGGTGTGGAGCTGGCAAAAGATGAGGGACAAGAACAAAACCTCCGTGCAGAGACCTTGGAGAAAGCTAATTTTGTTTTGAGGCCAATCTGGGGATTATCTCTATTCGCTAAAGTTAAGAATAGTTTCTGGGACTGCAGCCCAAGGAAATGGCTTAAAAGAGAAAGACATAAAATTATAGATGTACTATGATAACAACTAGAAAAGAAAATGTGGCTAAAGACAGGAATATGAAGAACCTGTATGCGATCTTACTAGAGCAGGGATGATAATTATTAATAGTAGCCAAAAAGTGAGGAATGGGGCGAAGATCTGGGGATCACAACACATTCAATCCCAGAATAATCAGGACAGGTTGACTACATGGGGAGCTCCAGCCACAAAGCAGCTCTCTAATTCTAAGCCTGCAGAAACTTACCATCCAAAGACTAGGAAATAAAACAGAGGGCAAACCACGGATCTGCCTCTCCAACAGCCTCTTTCATATGAATGATGACAGAAAAGCAATTCACAGATTAAAGCAGCTAACCTCAGCAGAGCAAGGCCTAGCTATCTCCTTTCCATAAGGAACAAAATAAAGTAAAAGGTCTTCAAATTACCCTTCCTCACAGAGACTGTGTTCCACACCCTGAACCTATGGAGACAGTAAAGCAACCTCCTCACCCCACTACTCTAAGCGCCCAAAAGCCATTCACAAGGGAGGGTATATCATAGCTTTGAATTGGCAAAAGTTTCTATAGAGAAATTAGATAGGCAAATATTTACAATCCAGGGTAGAGGCCAGGTGAAATGGCTTTGTCAAGGCTGATGCTCACCGATGGTACATTTATGCGGCCTGGCGACCTAGTTACACAGGGAACCCTGAAGCAGTGTGTCCGTGCGTCTGTCTGTTCCTCTCCTTCAGTGCGGTCCAAAAGTAGATGTAAAGTTCTCCAGGATGCAGAAAACAGTTTTGTAGAAACCCTTGGACTCTGAAGCTGACCCAAGCCAGGACATGTAAGACATGCAATCTGCTGAGTTTTTAAAACTCAAGATAACAAATGGCTGTGATCTGGTACCATGTACCTGGATCAAAGCTTTCAGTCTACATTCACCAAGGCCTGAAATTTAACAATTACTGAACGTCTACTGTATGTCAGGTAAAATTAAGTCTTTCCTTCTCTAGAAAACATTATAACTTTTTGAAGGCATTACATGATCTATGCTGCTTAAGATTTTTTTTTTTAAACCACTTAGCAAAGTGGTTTAAACTTAGCAATACTTGATATATACCTCTAACTCTTGCCTAACACAACAGACCAAAAGCTCAAAGGTCAGCAGCAGAGAAAGAATACTGTTCATACACACTACCTCTGGTAAGATATCTTTGTCAGCAGCTTGGATTTGCCTCTGGGCCCTATCTCTAAAAGTCCCAGGGGGTAGGGGTGACTCTAGTTCCATGACAAGATAGGAAAGACCAGAGAGAGGGAGACGGCCTACCGACTCCAAGGGCCCCAGGAGTCACAAAAAGCCAACCTGGCAAGAGAGCACCCAGCCCTTGGCCTCTTTCCCTAAATGCCCTTCCCCATCCTGCTGACCCAGACAGAATGTCAGGGCGGCTGCACGGTACACAAACTCCTGCTCTGGGGTAGATGGGAGGTGAAACTTACAATCCAAAGTGAGCAGAAGGAACACAAATATAAAGAACTGCCCTCAAATACAGGTGCAATTATAAACACACCAAAAGTGGGCCCCCTGGGAGATGCACAAACTCTAAGGACAATGAGTGCACAATCCAAAGCTGGAGCCAGGTGGGGGAGGGTGGGAAAGCCTTACCCAGCAGAGGCTTCCAGAGGAGAACCAGAGCCCAACCTTCGGCCGGCAGCCACTACCACTTCACCTGCAGCTGCTTGTTTCCTCATTCACTACAGTTTCCTGCTGTAATTCTCTAGAGGGTCTCCATTCTCACACAGGAGCTGGAGTGTGAGTTTTACATTTGGTCCAAAGTACTCTTGAACTCACTGAAATTACCAATACAGTACAGTATATACTGTTACTTGCATTCACTCTTTAAAGTAATAACATACTATATATAACAAGAGGGCCATGGTGGCTAAAAAAGATGCCTGTCTTTAAACAGGTGAATCACGAGCAACAAGGCCAGAGGTTCAGAGCATGAGGGGTGCTTGGGGCCTGAGATCCCCTGAGGGAAGGTAGAGAGGAGGCTCCTACTCACTGTGGGGCAGTGCTCATCAACTGGAACAAAGAGGCAAAAATGAGTTCTCTTTTCCTATAGCTTTTTGTTTCTTTTTTTGTTTTTAGCTTATGTCACTGCTGTTAAATTCACATGATCAGGTCCATTATGTGTATAACATATACTTTATGTCTCTAACTAACCATGCACCTACCCTCATACCCTTGCCTGCATGCTCCTTCCCACAATGACATCCCTTAAACTCTCCTTTGTTATTTTACCATTTCGTGTGTGTGTGTGTGTGTGTGTGTGTGTGTGTGTGTGTGTGTACACGTACAGAAGGATGGGTGGGGAACCATGGATAAGAGTTACATTGAGAAGATCCAGTCTTTCCAGTGCCCCTTGCCCACACACAACCCCCAAGGATGGGGAAATGGAGAGAAACATGGATCAGTTGGTTCATGGCTTCTTTTTATAAACCTGTTTCATTTTTCAAGGGTCCACACAAATTTTCTTTACAGAGGCCATGTGTCTGCAGAGCCAGGCTCAGCACCTACCCTGGAGTATACAATATAAGGAGTCACATTACTCACCTAGAGTAACGTCCGTTAGAAACAAGATGTTGTTGGTTGAGCACCCAATGCTGCTTGCAATCTTTCGGTAACTCTCACTCTCCACTTTGTGTCCAATCTTGGTATCAAAGTGCCCATCAACAAGCTGCACACAGGGAAAGAAAAGACTAATGTTATAAATACACTTGCAACCCAACCCTTTGTCTCTCCTCCATTTGCTCTGAAATACGTTAACAATCATAGTGATTTTGTCCCTTCAATAAATAATTCCTTAATAGAGAACTTTATGCAGGCTACAGAAAATAAAGTAAGATCTTATAGAAATAAACATTTGGACGAAAACTACCAATTCAATGTATATAAAATCATGTTACAATTTACTTGGTTTTCTTTGATTAGCATGAATTTTATATCCAAAATCTTTTAAAATATACATGCCCATGTTCCTTTGAAGAAATATTTGATAGATACTTGGGGAAGTACTTGAATGAAATAATATCAAAACTGTTAAAAAAAATACATACATGCCCGACTTTCTATCCTTAAAACCCTGGGCGCCTGGGTGGCTCAGTTGGTTAAGCGACTGCCTTCGGCTATCCTTAAAACCCTATTTGCACTCAAATTACTTATTGGACTCGGTTTCACTCCTGATGACAGGTCCTGAACATTGTCCTTTTGATCCCAGAATGAACAGATTTCTCTAACCTGCCTCATTATTAAGCTGCTACTTAACTTTCTTTCTCTGCTGCTGACCTTTGAGCTTTTGGTCTATTGTGTTAGGCAAGAGTTAGAGGTATATAAGCAAGTACATTTTTATCACTGAATTCAGTAAGTAACTATTGTGTATTATCTACTATCACCTTACTGTCTGTTCCATCAGAGAGCACAAAAGAGTAGCTTACATCTGTATTCAGAGGAGATACACGTATTAAAGGGTCTTATTCCTGATTTAATATTTGATTTAAACTAAGATAAAACGCAGGGAAGTACTAAAATGAGAATACGACATCTCCAAAGACAAAGTGTTCTCTGTGCATGGTAGAGGCTCAATAAGTATTTATTTAAAAGATAGGTGGCTGAGTGACCTACTGCATTTCACTAAGCTCAGCCTGTATTCGGTTAGTTGGCTTTCTTTTTAAAGTCCTAAATGCGAGGCACCTGGGTGACTCAGTCATTAAGCGCCTGCCTTCGGCTCAGGTCATGATCCCAGGGTCCTAGGATCGAGCCCCGCATCGGGCTCCCTGCTCAGCGGGACGCCTGCTTCTCCCTCTCCCACTCCTGCTTGTGTTATCTCTCTGTCAAAAAAATAAATAAAATCTTAAAAAAAAAAAGTCCTAAATGCCTTCCCTTTTCCCAGTGCCCACCCTGTCCCCAGAGGGCGCAAGGATGGTGGGACAGAGGAGCTGGCAGGAATTTTCTCATCTACAAGAAAGGTAACAGGTGGCCTTAACATATCACCATTTGATAACACACCCAGTTCTCTTACAGAAGAATGAGGTTTCTGCTAAAATAAAATCTGTTTTCTCTCCAAGGTGCCAGAAACAAATGAATCTACCTTGCACTCGTTTCGTTAAAGAAGTGTATGTGTGCATGTGTTTGGATGGGGCACGTGCCACTATTGTACTGCTGCTCACCAGCTACTTGAAACAACCAGAAGTGGGCCATTAGTTTCATCTGCGTGGACAATTTTCTAATGTTGGCAAGAAAGCTGATTTACAAGCCAGCTCGTATCTTATTAGCTGTATTACATATACATATATATATTCTTGACCCCCCCATCCCAGACCTGCCAATGCAGATGTGCTAGGAAGCACGGCCCAGGGATCTACACTTTGAACAAACTCCCCTGGTGATCGTTACTAACAACAGCTTAAGAACCTCCGATGCCAAGACCAGTACGACAGAAACATTTCACCCTTCCCTCGAATGCATTCACCAGTCTATCCACTTTTCTTTACCACCTGCTTAGCATATATACATGCGGTGATCTGAATGCTGACTTAGCTTATAACTGTAGGATATTCCTTTAAGATTCATTATTTCATGCTTTGATAGCGTCAGAGAAACAGAGTAATCGGGTAACCTACCTCAAGAATATCTCCCTCTGTAGAATGCCCAAATAATAGCTTCTGGGCCTCTACACTCCCTGAAGAATAGATATACACTTTCATTCCAGCCTCTCTCCATTTCCGGACTGCTGGAACTACATCTTCGAAGAACCTAGAGGAAAGACCATCAAGTTCAAATGCAGGAACATGGTATCTAGCCTGATGAAAACCAGTCAAAATAGCTTTAACAAGTTTCTTTTATTTGAGCCCAATTAAGTCACCATGAGAAGCACCTTCCAAGAGACTGCGAACTCCTGCTGACCTAACAAGCTTGTCACTGGGACTCCAGAACCACAGCAGATTAGAAGCAACAATGTAGGTGGAGAGACAAGTTTTTGACAGACAGCCACACTAACGACAGTAAAAAGTGATTACAAATAAGGGATGAAATAAAGTGCTTTTTTAAATTCCCAAGGAACTAAAAAAAAATAACAATTATGTAATCTTCGATGTAATTATGACAAGAGGTTACATGATGTCCAGTGGGCCTTCAGAAAGCATGGAAATGCCTTTAAAAAGATTTGCTCCCAAACAGTTACAAGAAAAACATTTGCGGGTTCAAAGCTACTCATATGTGACTAGCTAGAAAATGGAACTCCATTTCTTGAGAACTAAGAAAACCTAAAGGTTTTAAAATATAGAAAAAAATTACCTAACAAAACAGTTAAGAGACTTGTACCATCTCACATTAGCTAATCGGCAAACAGTGCCTAGTTTTTCTGATTCCTGACACAAAGTCCTGCTTCCCCCTTCACCGTCTTCCATATTCGGTGGTGGAATTATCGCAGAAATAGGTGAAAAGAGAAGCACAAGGAACTTGGAATGTGGAACCATTTTTAAAAGATTAACTGGAAAATGTCAGGGAAATCTCCTACTGGATAAAACAGCCTAATGGATTACACTAATTGAAAGAAAGAGATGAACTAGTTTGAAACCAGCACACATAATTGTGGGTTACTTTGTGCCGTTATTTGCAATCATAGAGACAGGATTTTTCCACGTTGAATCTGCAGATTGTTATTGTTCCAACTCAGGGCTTAGAAGTCTAAAGTAATTTATTTCAAGTCTCTGGTTTTATAATTAAGGAAACCAGTCCGAGACAAGGAAGGACTAACTATAACTAGTTCGAGCATCCTCTCTCGGCTCCACTCTTTAGTGTTTTATATAGTGAACTAGTGGATATTCTAATGCATCCTTTAAAAAGTGGAAGCCCCCTGGGGTGCTTGGGTGGCTCAGTCAGTTAAGGTGAAGCATCTGACTTCGGCTCAGGTGATGATCTTAGGGCCCTGGGCTTGAGCCCAGGAATCAGGCTCCTCGCTCAGCGGGGAGTCAGCTTCTCTTCTCCCTTTGCCCTGCGCACGCTAAGAAATAAATAAAATCTTAAAAAAAAATATGAAAAAGTGGAAGCCCCTTGTAAAGTACATAAATAAAGGAATGGCATTTCATTCGATAGAAAAACAAAAGAAATATAGCAACTAGAAGTAGTCTTAGATCTTAGGGTGTACGTCAGGCAATGACCCAAAATCCTTAGTGGCAGTGTCTTATTAAGAATTTCTTAGCAGGTAGACGCCTGGGTGGCTCAGTCGTTAAGCGTCTGCCTTTGGCTCGGGTCATGATCCCAGGCTCCTGGGATCGAGTCCCACATCGGGCTCCCTGCTCAGTGAGGAACCTGCTTCTCCCTCTCCCTCTGCTGCTCCCCCTGCTTGTGCTCCCTCTCTCTGACAAATAAATAAAAATCTAAAAAAAAAAAAAAAGAATTTCTTAGCAGGGCGCCTGGCTGGCTCAGTCAGTAGAGCATGTGACTCTTGATCTCAGGGTTGTAAATTTGAGCCCCACGTTGGGTGTAGATTACTTAAAAATAGAATCTTTAAAAAAAAAAAATTCCCCAGCAATAGAAGACTCACGAGTCTTCCTTCGGCAGGAAGGCTTTCAGGAACACCACAACCCAGACTCAGATGGTCTGTGGAAGGTGTGGTAACAACACAGGACTGAGCAGTACTGCTGACACTCTGAGTAACCCCAAAATGGTATGTAAATAATCTCAAAGCATTCTTCCTTCTCTAGCAGAGCAGAAAGCCGGTAACCTAACAGCTCTGAGAAGCAGCCCGACAGGACTGTCTGCTAAAGATCAAATATGACTGAGCTCAAAGAAGTCACCATTTTCTGGGAAGCTGTTTTAAACTGGGATCAAAGTCCTCAACCATCCCACAAAGCCAGGCATACTGCTCTGGGGAACTTAGCTGGGTGGAATGCTTTATCCCGGCTTTGAAAAAACAAAACACACACTTGCTTGTTAAAATAAAAAGAATGTGGGGCACCTGAGTGGCTCAGTTGGTTGTGTCTCCCTTCGGCTCAGGTCATGATTCCGGAGTCCTGGGGTCAAGCCCCACATCGGGCTCCCTGCTCGGCAGAGAGCCTGCTTCTCTCTCTGCCTCTGCCCACCCCTCGTTCTCTCTCATCATGCTCTCTCTCAAACAGATAAATAAATTCTTTAAAAATATAAAATAAAATAAAAGGAATGTTGATTTTATCTATTTGACTAATCACACAACTAACAAAAATCACACAGAGAGAGGACCAGTGGAAAATGTACTGGGTTTCGGGGCTGGTGAAATGTTTAGAGCTCCTTGAGCAGCGACATACTCGGCTTTCATGCGCCCAGCTGCGAATGCCGCCCTCCACATGTGGCCCTGCAGCTGTTTCAGCGCCGTGGTCTTCCGGTCCAGAGACATCTGCCAGCACACGTTATCCACCACGGCCTGGATCATCTGCTGCAGGTCATCTCCTCCATTCCCAGATGAGGCAGGGATGGGAACAGCCCCATCCAGGTGGGCATCCTCTTCAGCCTTTAAGTCATAAACAACATGAAGTTTGTTTCTTACTTATTCTAATTTTAAAAAAGATCACTTAAAATGAGACCCGAAAACCCAGCGGACCAACTTTTCTCCAACTATCACTGGCACCCAGCACTGTTACAAATTCAAGTATCTTACACTTTGGTGCTGATATGAATGATTCCTAAAGGAAAGTGGATTATAATTAATAAATTCGCATCACCTTTCATATATTGCTAAAGCTGAAATTTAAATGGAGAGACACGGTGTACATGAGAGAGACAGCATATAATGATAAACTGATATAGTAGGACCCAGTGTGTTGATTCACTTACAGGGATCAACAAACCAGGACTTCAGTTAAATCTGATAATTTTCTCGGCGCTATAATGAACCGAGGAAGAAACAAAGAAAATGTCAACAAAATCTGTTAATGCCTGGAATTCAATAAAAACAAGCTAGCAAAAAAAAAAAAAAAAAAAAAAAAAACCCAAGCTAGCAAAGCAATGCCTGGGGTTGGTTCTTTTTCAGTATCTTGCAGTTTTCCTCATCTTGCCCACCAAAACCTAACAGCTACCTAAAACAATGACTCTGTGATGATGCATATGTCCAATTTCTAAAGACCAATGATATACAAACTATAGTGGGGGAATATGTAATTTCAATAAGAGTTGAGACAACAGAAAGCTAAGGGAGGGGAGTGTTTCAGACTAACCCAGAGTTATCTAGAACATTTAACAAACCCAAATACCCCATGGCCCAAAGGCTATATTTCCGATCCCAACTCCCAACCAAAAAACATTTCTAGAGCATTCCACATCGTCCAATGTAGAAAACAAACTAGAAAATAACTGTCATAGAGTTCACCCTGCACAGTGTGTAAGATCTTTGCCACTGAAGCAATTTGAAGAAGAAAACAAATAGTTCTACAGCACAGAATGTGGAAGGAAAACCGGACCGTAAACCGGGCAGAGAACAGAGCAGAGTAGCACAGGAGACAAAGATGGGCCTAGTGTGAGCGGGGTGCAAGGTCTACAGGGCTGTGTGGAGGTGAGGCCCCAGGAGCGCTGTGCAGGGGGCAGGAGAGACAAGAGAATCACTGGAAGACATTAATGAAAAATGTGGCGAGATGGCACCAAAATCTCTTGCACACTACCCAGAAAAAGCTTACTTTTAAAAATACATGACGGGACACCTGGGTGGCTCAGTTGTTAAGCGTCTGCCTTTGGCTCAGGTCATGACCCCAGTGTACTGGGATTGAGCCAGCATCAGGCTCCCTGCTCAGTGAAGTGTCTGCTTCTCCCTCCCCCACTCCCCCCTGAGTGTGTTCCCTCTCTCGCTGTCTCTCTCAATGTCAAATAAATAAATAAAATCTTAAAAAAATAATAATAAACTTAAAAAAATAAGAAAAAATACATGACATTTTTATGCAATCGAAACAGCTCCAGCAAGAGGCAACTGTAGAGACAATAAACTGCCATGATCTGGCCATTTAATTATGTTCTGTGAATTCCTAAGCAAGTCACCGCAAAGTCCAAGCACCGTGAATCCAGAGCGCTTATTTTGCAGTACGTTCAGAGCATATCTGTCTCCGGGCATCCTCAATTCTCAGACACTTGGGAGTGTGGAAGCAATGGAAGAGCAATGTCCCAACCTGTTTCCTCAAAAGACTGACGTCCTGCTGGCACTCCTCTTCTTCCCAATGTGTCTGAAGATACTCTTTAACATTTTCTCTGATGTAAGGAAATAAAATGTCCTGGATAAACAAGTTAAAAAACAAACAAACAAGAATTAGCTTGTCATTTGCCTGAGATCAAGTTCTTCAACAATCTTACCTCTGTGAACTGTAGCAAGTAAGCCAATGAAACCTACATGGAAAATATGAAAATTTCTGTTGTGGCTACAGAAACAAAGACCAAGAAACAAATGAACTAGGTCAAGAGTCAGCCAACTATGGCCCATGGGCCAAAGCCAGATTGACATCTCCTGTTTTTGTAAATGAAGATTTTTTGTTTTTGTTTTTTAAGTAAGCTCTACACCCAATGTGGGGCTTGAACTCACCACCCGGAGATCAAGAGTCACACGCTCTACCAACTGAGCCAGCCAGGTGCTCCCTGTAAATGAAGTTTTACTGGAAATGGCCACACTCATTTGATTATAGCGTCAGAGGCTACTTTTGGGCCACAATGGCAGAGTATTTGTAACCAAAATCATATGGTCTACAAAGTCTAAACATCTGTTCGGCTCTTTACAGAGAGTCTGCTGACTCCTAAACCAGATTGCTAGACCAAGGTCCGTGAGGGCAGGGATCAAGTATATCTTGCTCACAGCTGTATCGCTGATACACACACAGTACTTGGGACTTGTACACAACTCAAATATCGGCTGAAAGAGTGGTGTCCATGCATGACAAATGCTTAAAAAAATTTTTTGATGGGGCGCCTGGGTGGCTCAGTCGTTAAGCGTCTGCCTTCGGCTCAGGTCGTGATCCCAGGGTCCTGGGATTGAGCCTCACATCGGGCTTCCTGCTCCGCGGGGAAGCCTGCTTCTCCCTCTGTCTGCTGCTCCCCCTACTTGTGTTCCCTCTCTCACTATGTCTCTCTCTGTCAAACAAATAAATAAAATCTTTAAAAAAAAAAAAAAGAAAAAAATTTTTTTGATCACCGTGATTCTTTCTTGGTAATCAGACTCCCCATAGAACACCCTATAAGACAGTGATGGGCAAGACAATTCAAAGATAAATACCCTGTCAATAATCCATACATTGGCAAGGTGATTTCTCTTAGGTCAAAATTTGTATTTACTTACAATTGAGCATATGTATCTTTTCAAATCAAATGTGGCACATTCAATAATTTTTTTAGCATTTACTAGTGGGGCATGCAAAAGGGAATTGAAAAGACAAAATATATCAGAGTTCCTTTCTCAATAAGCTTAAGAATTTAGTGGGGAGACAGGAGGCTGGCAGGCAAACCAAGACTTGCAACATGGTGCAAGGGGTGAGACAAGCAGAGTTGGAGCAGAATGCTGTACAAATCCAGAGAGTGACGACCCTGCAACAGTCTCAGCAATTACCTGTCTAAAAAAGCCAGAAAATGAATATATGCTAGGAGCGTAGACCCCAAGTATACAACTCAGAGGTGGTCTTATATCTTAAGGAAAATTCTACAATCAAGTTGAACTCAAGAAGTCTGTTTATTTAAACTCATTCACTCATTTATTTATTCAAATATTTACTGAACGCCCTTTGTAATTTCCAGTTAGAAGGTAAAGAAGTCACGGGGATATAAAGTACAGCATAGGGAATACAGTCAAGAACACTGTAATAACTTCGTATGGTTATGGATGGTAATTAAGCTTATTGTGGCGATCATTTCCTAATGTATATAAATGTCCAATAACTATGCTGCACACCTGCAACTAATATAATACTGTGTGTCAACTGTATTTCAACAAAAAAAGATAGATCAATAAATAGTAGGGCTGAAGCATTTACCTCTCCTCGTAACACATTATCCAAGTTTCACCTGCCCTAGTAAAAATAAAGAAGTCATTCAATTTTGCTTGTTCTCATGTGGCATTCCGGTAAGTAATGGATCATTCAGCAGACTCAAAAGCCATACAGTGTAATCAAGCAAACTGTTCAGCGTACTTGACAGAACAGCCTTGTTCGAGCTCAATAAAAACTCATTCCTGATCTCAAAGAAAGAAAATGAAGAGCTGAGACTGACAGCTTGCTTTCTGTGCAAGATTCCTTTTACCATACTGCTATACTTCTGCTTTCCTTTAAAGACTAGGTCTTCCCATCGTGCCCCTCCTTGTCCTTCCTTCCATCTACCCACCCCCCCCACTCACACACTGTGGTAGACGGCAAGCTGGCCTCCCCACTCAAGAAGGCTGTTGGAGAAGACAGAGAAAACCTGAAGGTTTTGTGCACACACATCCAGTCCTCCCCTAGACATGTACCATAGACAAACTCTAATACATGTGCACAAAGAGGAAAGTAAAAAAAATGTTTATTGCAATACTGCAATACTACTAAAATACTATATTTTACAACAAAATCAATGGAAGCAACCTAGATCTTCATCAGCTAGAGAACAAGCTCGGGTATATTCCTTCATACTCTAAAACAATATACAGCAGTTAGGGGCGCCTGGGTGGCTCAGTCTTTAAGTGTCTGCCTTCGGCTCAGGCCATGATCCCAGGGTCCTGGGATCGAGCCCCGCATCGGGCTCCCTGCTCAGCGAGGAGCCTGCTTCTCCCTCTCCCACTCCCCCTGCTTGTGTTCCTGCTCTCGCTATCTCTCTCTCTCTGACAAATAAATAAAATCTTTAAAAAATAAAAAAATAAAATATATAGTTAAAAATCAGTGCACTTAAATTATAAACATGAATATAAACGCTAACATATAAATAAAACTCTAACACAAAATGAGAGGTACTCAAGAGTCTCAGTTATATCCGTAATGTTTTATTTCTTTAAGATCTGAGACAAAATAGTATAAAATCTAATAAGCTTTGTGGGAGGTGCATGGTAATTATCTTAATCCTTATTCTTCCTTATTTAAAATGTTTGACAATTAAAAAACAAGTCAACTTTGATCCCTCATCCTCTACCTGCTTCTTTCCCCTTGGCCGTCCTCCTCTAATGTCCCATCTCCATTATCCCCCAATTCTCAAACTGGAAACATTCCTGGGGGAAAACTGTTGGTAGATTCAGGGCCTCCCAATAACTGAAAAGCTGAAGTACTCAAAACGTATAAAAACGGATGCTGTGCTATACTACTTCGTGCTTCACAAAGCCCAATTTCCTAATCCAGCTTTACTGGTCCCAAGAACAATTTATGAAGAGCCTGTGAATCCCAGGAGCCCAAGTCCTGCACTTCTGTGGGAGAAGAAATGACTCTGGGCAGTATGCCAGGCCGGGGTCCTACCTCTGCCTTTTACTGCTATGTTCAACTTACCCTCTCTGAGCCTCGGTTTTCTCATCTGCTAAATGGGAATGATAATACCGAGCAAGGTCATTGTAGTAATTAGAGATAGATAGATAAATAGACAGATAGATAAACAGATAGATAGATAGATAGATAGATAGATAGATAGATAGATAGGACCTAAACCTTATCACTTATATTCTCCAGCACAGAAAACATTTAAACGGGGCAAGGATCACCTTTGACCCAAATTTAGTGACAAATAGCAGAGAAGTTCCCAGAGGATAAATCACAAGCACAATGAACTCACATTCAACTTTTACTGAGGACCTACTGAGTGCCAGATACTTCTGATAACAGAGTTATGAACCACAGCCTCTCTCCTCAGAGGACTCACAGAAATAAAAGCTGCAAGGTTTCAAACAACTTTGAACTTTTAAGAAAAGCTTTAAAAGTTAGAGATTACTTCAGAATTCCTGATCATCTAATTTGCCCCTTTCCTCTAGCCATAAAACTCCCCTGCACACCGAGTAAACACACAAGCTAGGCCACGAAGGCAGAACTTAGTATATAACATGTGGACTATCAAGACTACCTGGGGTAGACATATTAGCAGACTTCTATTTTAGTGCAGTGTTATTGCATCATATAAAGGTACATGGGGCAAATAACTAAATTATGAAGATTTTATCCTATCCTTTCAACACACTTTTTGAGTAACCTATTTTATAAAATAAATGAAATGCCTTCAAGTTGCTTATTTTTTAAAAAGCCAGTAATTATATGAATTACATGTGTTACGATATCATATAAGAATGCTCTAAAAAAAGAGTTGGTAAAGCTAGTGCTTATTGCCCAACACTGCCCACTGAACATTTTCAGGCTTTAAAAGTAATTCCAGAAATAAGTGTGATGACAAATGTTTTAATTTCAGTCATAATCCATTTATGGGTAATTTCAGAATACTATAGTATGAAAAAAATGCTGCAATAAACCCAGGGTTCTATAAACATGTGAAATATGTTTAGTCCACCAGGCACCTAAGGGGCTGTTACGGTTTAGTAGTACACATAACAAAAGGCCATAGAACTAAATAAGAGTATTTGTCTTTCAGGGGACTATGATTAAGTTCCACTATAACTGCTGGAGGGGATACTATGCAAGCAGCAATTTATATTACTGCATGCAACTCAATGGTAGCTTTCTGAAAGAACTCCATTAAGTCTCCTTAAGGGTCACAACATTTCTGAACATCTAATTAAACAAGTTGCCTCATTAATGTTTAGAAGTCCAAATATGGATTTGCTTTATGGTCAAGTGGTTGTTTTAATAAAAAGGTCACAGAATCAATAAAAATTAAATAGTCGCTATAATGTTTACTCAAGTCTCCTTTGAGGAAAATGGATAATAAAAAGGTAATGGGTAATACTTAGAGTATAGCTATTTAAAGGAACTATTTTAAAAGACTTCCAATGAACCACACAGTACAACAAATGATTTAAAGTATTTGAGAACTTAAAACTTTTTCAGCCGGGGATGCCTGGCTGGCTCAGTCGGTAGAGCATGCGACCCTTAATCTCAGGGTTGTGAGTTCAAGCCCCACATTGGGCATGGAACCTACTTAAAAATAAGGAGTGCCTGGGTGGCTCAATCGGTTAAGCATCTGCCTTTGGCTCAGGTCATGATCCCAGGGTCCTGGGATCGAGCCCCACGTCGGGCTCCCTGCTCAGCGGGGAGTCTGCTTCTCTGTCTCGGCTGCTCCCCCTGCTTATGCTCTCACTCTCACTCTCTGGCAAATAAATAAAATCTTTAAAAATAAA